AATATTCGAGATCTGAACAATCAACTTACTCAGGTAATTTTATATTTTGTTATTTAAAAATATTATTATGTTTGATATAAATGATTAAAACCCTAACTCAGATAGTTGTATTCAAATATATATTTAATAATTATCTCAAGTAAGTGAGATATAATACGGTCAAAAGTAGATTTTTTTTTATATTTATTATAGATTTATATATACTCATAATATACCAAAAGAATGCTAATAATATGCCAAAAGAATGCTAATAATATGATGTATATATATATGTATTTGTAATATTATATATATATATATATATATAATTTTTTTTTAAAGAAACTGATTTGAGATGTTATCAAATGGGTTTTATACATAAATTTTTAAAATTAATATATTTGTATATGCAGTTAATGAACCAATTAGAATCAGAGAAAAAGAAGAATGAAGAGCTAAAGAAAATGAGAAAAAATTCTCAAGTGCCTGAGAGATGGTGGGAAAAACCCATTGAAGAACTTGATTTAGCTCAAGCTTTTCAATTTAAAACCAGACTTGAAGAATTGAAGAAAGAAGTAACATCGGAAGCTTCCAAAATGTTTCAAACAGCTGGTCCTCATCAAAACTTCTATGTTGGAAGTTCCACTAATGCTCCTTTTGGGGTTAATGATGGTAATAATTTCAACCTCAATTCAGACCAGCTTAATCAAAAAAGAATGGTGAATATGAATGCAGTCTACAACCAGAACATGTTTATCCCTAATCGTCCATTACCGTTTGGAAACAGTTTTTATGGTAATGCTGTAGAAAGATCTGTTCCAGAATATAATATGAATAGACTAGGGTATAATCAGAACCAAAACCTGAACTTGAGAGGAGAAAACATCAGTGAAAATGAAGGTTATCATGGTGGTGATCCACCAGAATCTGGTTCTGGTTACTAACTATTTTCATGTAATCCTCGTTTCTTCTTATGTTGTTTACTTTTTCTTCAAAATTATGTTGTTAGATTCCTCCTTGTTATTGTTATGTTTTGTTTTCTTTGAAAAAAATTATGGTTTTGTTACATTTGTTATCAAAAATAATAAAAAATAAACAGGTAACATATAAATATTCTTTTAGTTAAGAATAGTATAGTACTATTAAAAAAAAGCATTAGGGCAAATACTAGAGATGACCATGGATACGGTTGTGCACTTTCTGGGTCTGATCTACATAAATAAAATTAATAATTATAATCAGTCATGCACATATATGTAAGAAAAATATACTTTTAATTACACATACAAATAAAAATATAAGAAATTTAATTTAATTTTGAAAAAAATAAAAATATTAAATGATAGAATGATTTTTAACAGTGGTACAGCAGAAATTCTCTCTAAGATTTTCAATATGTTCCTTTAAACATATAAAAGATTTGTTATGTATTTATTTATTTGCATAAGAAATACTTTTATATAAGTTTAGAATTCTAAGTTAGAGATTTCTGAAAAGGAAATGATATATGACAAAATAGTTGGAAAGTATAATTGGAAATGAAAATAGAGTCAATTAATTGAATATACATAAAACAGCTGAATTTGCAGATCTAACGTTGATGTGACATAACTGATAATTTACTATTTGTATAGTTATTACAAATGACCAATATATCCTTCATTATATCTGCCACTTCTTGAGAATAGAAGACTCCACTTATGAAAGTTGCATCGAACATCTGATATATATATTATTCTCTCTCTTCTAATCTCTGTTCGAGTTGTGCAACAATTGATATTATTGAGAAATTATTTGTTATCGACTATTAAACATGTTAGCACTCTCTATGTTAAATTAAAAAAAAACTACATCAGATTCAAATAAGTTACTGATTAACAATTATTGTATCATATATGAACAAGTAGGTTAACGTCTAACATTATTATTTTCACGATAAAGAATATGTTAGATTGATAACAATAATGAGTTGTATGGATTATTAAAGGTGTTATTGATTTGTTTAGCGCGCTACATATAAGTTTACCTATAATTGTTTTGTTTTACCTGGTAAAATACATGTTAGACTGATAACAATACTGAGTTATATAGATTGTTAGAAGTGGTACATTTTTCTGAGGGATATAGATAAATATAACACATTATTTGAATATGTTAGCAGTTTAACAATAAATTGAAAGACTAATTAAGTTTCAGAGAAACAAAAAACTTATTTCCTTAACCAGATTTTCAAAGAGAAATGCTTATCTTCGGATGAGGGAAAGATGGGAGAAAGAGAGAGACAAGGGAGAGAAAGATATATATAAAAAATGAGATTTATGCATGTGTTAGTGTATTTAGGTATAGTTATGAGATGAACCATGCAATAGACTTTGCATTCTCGCATACAAGATAAGATACATCAAAGATAACAATATAGTTATATCTCTAACAATTTTACTACTCAGTCAAATAAATCATTAACATGTTAATATAAAAGTAGTATAAGTGATTCTAATTGTTACTTCTCTAACAATATTATTGATCAGTCAACTAAATCTGAACCGTGGTAATAAACCACCGCGGCTGCTACAGTATCTCGAGCTTTGCAGCTACGTCGTCTCTCAACCAACATCGACTGTCACCTGGGGGAGAGATTCATTGGAATCTGCCTCTCTTGTCTCTGTGGATGTCGTCTTCTTCTTCGTCGTGGAAATCTCTGACTATTCTCAATGCAGCTCCCAAAGCTTTCATTAAGCTTTTCAAGAAATTAATTTTAATCTGGAACTGTGTTAATAAATTGGGTTGGAGATTAATTGACTATTTCTTTTAATAATCTCTTTGGAAAACAATAAGAGATTGTATTTGATTGAGAAGAAAAAATTCTGAGAGAAACGAGCAAAAGAAACGAGAGAAGGATGAAAAGAGATAAGGGCGAGAAAGAGAACAATGATATGGAAGGAGAGAAAAGAAAGAGAAGGAAAAAAAGGGTATAATGGGATTTTTAAGAAATAAATAGTAACCAAATTTTCTCTTTGTTAGTTTTGCAAATATGAGATTAATTTTCGTTAAAGGATGCAAATACTCATGAAAATAATAAAGAAGATGTTTAATAAAACTATAAAACTAATTATAACATGCAACCAATTGTAATGCGCAAGAAGACCCAAAACAAAAAAAAAGACGAAAATATGGAATATGGTTATCGAAAAAAATAAACGCATCGTGGATTTTGTAGTGGAAATCATTGCCAACTGATCTAACTTATCAGTCAACATGATAGCTGATTAAGTTTTTCTTAAAATCAGTATGGGGCATGTAAAGGTTTACATGGTAGTATTATTTACATGGTTTCTCTAACAAAGTGTGTCAACTTTTATTTGAATTTTGAGAGATCGAGAGTGATACCATTTTCCTATCTACGACAGTTAATGCGTGAATATTTGAGACACAAATATTTTAAATAGAAAACCGTAATCTAGACAACTTGGTAGACCAGTGTTGTTTATGTGATTATTTAAATATCTTACGTTGTTAAAAAATATATCGGATATCAATTCTGATTACTCTTTTGTTGTGGACTACCAAATTGTATAGGATACTGATAATTTTTTTGACAAAATTTGATTTTTTTTATAATAAAACCTAGCATTATTTATACTACATGCATGGTTTCTATAAAAACTGAAGTTCAACCTTTTTTTTTTTGATAAGTTCTATCGGCTGATCTGGTCGGTCCTGGTAGGAACGCACCGAAGTGCTATAGTGTGGACTTCTCCCTAACGGTTCAACGGACACCATGAGCTTCGAGCGAACTCGAGTCAATGGGCCATGAGATCCATGAGATCCAAATGGGCCACCACACTACCTGTCCCGAGTTTGAAATGTCTTCCGACTAATGCCAGGGGGTAGCCAGATCGTCTGTTACTGGACTACCAGGTAAACTGTTTGGCTCAAACCCAGACTTCCCACATAATTGTGTTTTTGTTTTCAGGGAGAATCGAACCTGGATGAAGTGGTGTAACACCCCACACAACCTTTCCCTACCACTGGACCACAACGATGCGGGCTTGAAGTTCAACCTTTTCTGATGGCAATGCAGCATTATTGGAGTAAATGATATAATAAAGTTAGTTTTGAAGGAGATAACAAGAGATTAATGGATATGGTCAATGGAAAGGTTCTGAGTTTTGGGTTATACAATTTGATCCGAGATGTGCGAGCATGGATCGATCATTCACATTTTAAAGAAGTTGAACTTAAATGGATAAAAAGAAATCATAGCCAAGCAGCTGATACAAGGCCAATGGCAAAGTCCCAATGCCCTGATTCATTATCATTTCTATGTACCAAATGTATTCACTTATATTTTACATCAAGACTATGTAAACTCCTGCTTTTCATATTAATAAAAGCAGTGTTATTTAAAAAAATGGTCGGTCTAATGAGAAAATTTTCAAACAATTACTTTCTTGGTGTCTTATAATTAAAGTTCAACGTTGGCCCTTCTTGTTGTTTAACTTGTTAGGTACGTAGCAATTTACTACCATATAAAGAAGTTGCATGTTGTTGTGTTGATGAACACAAAGTCAAATGTAATTTTAAGTTTTTTGACATTTACAAAACTAAAAGAAAAAAAAAACATAATAATAGTGATGTATGCACCATAAAATGTGCAAAGCTCATTGTTATTTTTGTTTTGAGAAAAAAATTATAAGGAATCTAGGTTTTTTGTGCCCGTTATTTAAGCTTGTGTTATTTTAGCTCTTCATAAGGAATCTAGGTTTTTTGTTTTGAACAAAAATAAGGAATCTATGTTATAAATGAAACTTGTATATAGTTTAGCCATAAATATGTGATCAGTAACTCATAAATCTCTTGAGGAAACCGATCCAACCCATGGAGATCAGAAATAGCACAAGCAAACACAGAGACATATCCAAGAAAATGACAAAGATCAAGTTGAAGTCTTTTATGTCTTTTGTAAGCAAAACACACTTGAAAGTACAAAAGGAAAGAAGCTTCTTTCTGGTTTGTTTACATCAAACCCTAGTGACCGTTGGAGAAGAATCAGGCTGGCTCACAGATGCTTCCATCAAAACAGCTACTTGTTCTAAACAACTCTTGTTATCGTTATTCCCATTCTCAACTTCCTCTTTCGTGTATAAATGTATCTTCAACACCACATTGCAGAAATCACTGTTCACAGCAAAAAAGAGTTCATTTTTTTTCAAGTTAGCAGCTAAGAAGTTGTGATGAAGCTTTACAAGATATGAGCTAACTTACTGCCATGGATCATCAGCAACGACCATCATATCGTTCTCACTGTCGGTGTACAAGATCCTCCATCCTTTCTCGGGATCCCGGAGAAGCCCTTCCATGTTGAACAACCGTTCAAGCTCGGTGAGGAGATCATTGTACCCGTTTAGTCGGGATAAATCAATAGCTATCCCCACCAGGCTTTCTTGCTTGTGAACCTTTTGAACACAAGAAATCAATAAAAAGATACATCTAGAAATACAGCTCCAATAAGCCCAAGAGATGATAAAGAAAAGGTTTTACCTTTGTGCAGATCCTTTTGCTCGAGCTTTGCGGGTTAGCTGCAGGTGTCTCCACGGGTAAGGAGAATCCGAAAAGCTTACACTCTGATGAAGCATTCATGTCAAAGTCGCCGCCTTTCTGTTTTCCCATCATATCAATCTTGAATGGAAAATCAGCTGTCACATTCTTCGGTAGGCCACCTTCCTTTTGTGCAAGGAACTTTCTAGTCTCCCCACCAAAGTTTATTGGGTAAACCGAGGATTTTTCTCCCGCATTTTATGGATTCTGATATGGAATATGAGTGCTCCTAATCCCTTCTGAAGCTAGCGGATAGAAACTTGACTTGTTGGCTTGATTATAAGCAAAGGGATCAGTGTATCCAAGATTAGGTTTTCCTGAAGTAGCAGCTGGACTGAAACCAGCAATTTGAGGGAATGATCGAAGTGAGCAAATTTCTTGACCTTGTAAGACCCTAGGAAACCTATCCAGGTTCATAACGCCTGAACAAGCTGGGTCCAGGGACGTAGCATCTACAAACTCACCAAAGCGATCCTTCACTCTACTAGACAAAAGAATTGGATTTGCATGAGACTGCATCGCAAAATCCAGTATCCGGCGGTTCATAACATCAAACCCCTGTAAAGGTGATGCAGAACCTATATTTTCTTGACCTTGCAAGACCTTAGAGGGTCTAACCGACTCCTCAAAGTCCAAAAAACCACCCCTTTCTGCTGTAACCAATAACAGTAATCTTAAAATCTGCAAAAAGCATATCTTCCCCTAAAGAAGAGAGGTGTAGATAATTTACCGGTTATGGGGTTTCCAGGTGGAGTAGTATCCAGTAGACCTGCCCACGGCCTCTTAGGCCTTGGAGAGGACTGAATGCTTAATTGTGGGAGAGAACCAGAGGGATCAATCTCCCATGGGGAAACTCTTTCTTGGTGATCACTCACAAAAGACTCATCCCATCGCACCTACCAAACAAATTTGAAAGATTTAACTATCGGTGTCTTGCAAAATGATAAATCTTCTACAAACGTTATTAGACAAACAGATGAGGGAGGACGCACCAACAAGCACCTCCATTTTGTGTTGGGCCACCTGTACGGTTCCAAGTCACAAACTCCGGTCACTACACCAGCGCATCTGCAAGAAAAAAGCAGGTTTATATTTTCTTCCAAGAGAAGAAGCTGGCACACAAGCCACAACACAAAACGAAGAAAAGAAGCAAGAAAGCAATAATACCTTCTCTCAGGAGAGTCTTCCATTTCAAATCGCATTCTGAATCTTGGGATTCCTGATGCTTGTGATATATTTCTCATAAGGAATCACAAACTCTGCGTGCGTCGCTCTGTATATGAACCCATGAATCAACATTATAGTTCCTCCTTTCAATCCTTTTTAAGCAAGTTACTAATGACAATTTCATTGTATTTACCGTGGACTGTAGAACACATGAAACATGCTTTTTGTAGATACAGCATTAGCCACAAGAGACAGAATGTTGGAACATGAATTCTTCTCAATGATTGAGTCAGGAAGTCCATTTCTTGGCCGTGCAGATCTTCTGATTCCTAACCTCAGCTCTCCATCTTCGTCTCTAGAAACGCAAACGTTAGAAATGAATATAACTCTATTTGATCAAGAAAACTCAAACCACCACTTCAGCATCTGATAAAGTGAAATCTTAAGCTTGCCTCAGAAAGAGAACCGCATCACCAGAGACGAGGTTCTTTTGACTGACGAATATACTCCAACCAGTGGTGAGCAGATGCCTCCTTGGTTGACCTAAGAGACAGAACGAAACGTTTTGGTTTCATTGGAAAAAAAAAAAGAAAAAGAAAAAGAAATGAAGAAAAACAAACTCAACCGGAGGCCACCTCGATAAATATGCCGAAACTTCCACTCTACTCCATGGAGGTCTTTTGCAATGAGATGGTCTCTGTTGTTTGTAGTCCTAACATCCGTGAATTTTTTTACAGATAAAGCTTAGAACAAAAAGGTCAAACTAAATCACCGGGAGCAAAAACTAAGAAAATTAGATCCAGAAAACCATACAAGAGGAGCGAAACAGTCTTCAGCGGCTCTTCTAGGTACAGAGAAGCCTCTATGGGTGCTTGTGTCGGAAGCTGTTAAGGTTTTGCAGAACATATGAGGTGTTCGTTTTACAGATGAGCTTCAATTCCTCTCTTCCTCCCCTCCTAACTCTCTGACCTCTTTGCCCTCCACATTTAGCATCGAAAACTATAGATCACAACAAGTTCATTGAATATATCATCGTCACTGAGATTATAAATGCAAATTCATGAAGACCAAAGATTTCAATGCTTTATTTCTCTATGTTCCTTTCAAATAAGATGATCATAAACAATGATATCCACAACATAATCTTTTGTTCTATGAATTTATTTGATTTATTTAAAAATCTATTTTTAAATTTAATTTATCATTAATTTAATTATACAAGTGTAGCACTACTTTTGGTTATATTATAATCGTTATATAATTTATTTGACACAACAAACATGATATACCAAACTATAATAGGGATTAAAGATAAATTTTTTAAAGTAGACAATGTCACTAATAGATTTGGATAAGAAGTGAAAAAAGAAGACAAAAAAGAAACCAATTTATGTGAAATTAAGTGATGAAGATGTTAGTTTTGAAAATAAGAAAATGAAAATTCACAAAAAAGTTTCAAGATAAAAAAGGCTAGAAAGAACAAAAAAAATCTAAATCTTTGAAGAAAATAACGATATAAAAAACTATGAAAAAACTATTTTTTATTATTATTATTTTTAGTTAATTGTATTTTTTGTGTATAACATTTATTAATATGTAAAGTTATCATTATTATAAAGTTGTGTCTTTTCGTTTAATGTTATTTTAAATTAGACATTTCTGTAACACTATGAATGAACCGTTGTGTCTTGTTATTACATTTTTTGTTAATTGTGTTTTTATATATATAACTACTAGCTATTGTATTGTTATGTCTTTGAGTTTTTTATTGGTATATGTGTTGTTTATTTAGTGAATTTAATAGGGAATAAATGTTAGAGATTTAAATGTTATCGTTATTTTGGTGAATCATTGCAACTATTAAGTTTATGGTTATTTTACTATTTACAGTTGTAGAGATTATCGTTATTTTATCAACCATTGCAACTCCTGAGTTTATAGTTATTTACTAAACATTAAAACTCTTGAAATTAAGGTTAATTTACCAACCATTACACCTCTTGAGTTGATAATTATTAAACCATTGCAACTGTTCAAAATTTAAACATTTTATTTTTCAATATTGAATCATTAAATCTTTTCAAAATCAAGACACAATTACTTATTGAAGAGACACAAATTTTCATTAAGATGTACAACTTTTTACCAATATATATATATATATATATATATATATATAACAATAAGACACAGTTTTTGTTTTTATTTTCACTTAGAGATGAATAAACATTCTATTTATCAAGCAACAACTCACTTGTTAAATGACATGAAGTTATAATATCTGTTACAGTTACAAGTTTTTCTAACATTATTATCATAAGATCTACGAGTGCATTATTATTCAAGAAAGAAGGCATTATTTTTCAATAATATGATCATATTTAGTTATTATGTATAGGCTTTTTTATTTTTAAAAATTTACTCATGTATGATGTTTTTAAAACTTGGCAGATGATGTTTGAATTGCTATTGTGTTATGCTCCATTTAATGATGTAAAATCTTAATATGAAATTGATATAATATATTTTAATTTTCCTTGCAGAAAAGTATTAAAAAAATCAATGAATAGTAAAATTTTAATATGAAATTGATATAATATATTTTTAATATTCCTTGCAGAAAAGTATAAAAAAAATCAATGAGGAATTTAGAAAGTTTCTCCCAACAACAATCTTCGATTAAGAGTACTTTTTTTTAATTATATATATTTTTAAAAAATACAATTGGAATGTTAATTTACATATATTAATTCTAAATTAATTTTTGAATAGATGGTGATTTTCAACCAATATCAAACGATAGCATTATCCAAAAAAGTTAGAATAGTAAGTATTTCTATTGCTAGTCGTAATATCATAACTGTTTTTTTTTAATATAGTAGAACTATAATGTTAAAAAAATTTAAGAAAAGGGAGGAAGAACCCGAAAATAAAACCAAATAATAACTTAATGCAATGTCTGGATTGTAATGATTGGTTTTTGTCAATAAAGAGTACTGAAACATATGCAGTACATTGTTCTCAATTTGTTGCAAACAAGGCTATATTTTAGTCCATACTGCTCGTGAGTCTCCATTGTTATTAGTTAACTTTTAAATGAGCCTTTGTTTCTCTGATATATAAAAGCATATAATTATATCCTACTTTTTATCTCTATGGGTGCAGAAATTTATTATTCTGTTCAAAATACATATGAGGTATATTGTTTCAAGGTCCATGGTAAAAATTATCATCTTATTGGGTTTAAAATACATATGACATTTTCATTTATTGATGAATTTGGTATATGTGTTATTTATTTAGTGAATTTATGATTTTATTTAAATGGGAGAGAAATGCTAGATATTTAATTGTTATAGTTATTTTAGTGAACCATTGCAAATCTTGAATTTATAGTTATTTTACTAAACATTGCACATTTTGAGATTATGGTTATTTTACGAACTATTGCAACTCTTGAATTTATAGTTATTTACTAAACATTACAATTTTTAAGTTTATGGTTATTTTATCAACCATTGCAACTCTTGAGTTTTTATTATTAAATCATCGCAACTGTTGGGATTATGGTTATATTTCTCAATCTTTTACCAACCATTGCAACTATTTATATTTATTTATTTTTTTTGTTAATTTAAAAGAGATTCTTTTAAAGATAATAATCCCAAACCTAAGCAGCCCTGTGAATTTTGAGTTTTTAAAGTGAATTTTCGGAGCTAGTTACTTAAGCATCGTATATGAATTTTGGAGAGAAATGAATATGAGACTACACCGGTTTATAAGCCCAACTTGTTACCATTCCTTACAATGCTACAGATGACACTTACCTTACCGTCTGGTTCCGACTCTTTCAAGCTACACCACTTAAGCATCAAGATAAAATTGATCACATCTTTTATTTTCACAGTTCACTCAAGAAGTTAAGATGCTCTTTTGAGAATCCTCATCAAGTTCTAACTAAACAGTTTGTAATGTGACCATAAAGTAAAGTTTATATATTATTTTTTGCAATGTATTATTAACCAAAAAATAAATTTGTATAATGCATGGAGGAAAAGAACACCTTCTTAAGATACAATTTAACCGTAAATCACATAAACTTTTATACGTAGTGAACCTAGAATCTAGAAAATACTCACAAATATCTTTTACACCAGTATGTCGCCACTACAAATAATATTCCCATGAAATAAATATATAGGATAAACCCTTTTTCCTTTTTGCTTTTCTGGTTTGAAAAGAATAAGGGATGTAAACCAATAAGCTATTCGCAGAGGTGTCACTATAAATCCTATGTGTCCAAAATTTAATAGCGATTCGTAAATTATATTGTGCCAATCCGCAATTGTCACCAGAATGTCACACTCCTTGCGGAGGACAGTAGAGGAAGAAACGAGTCAAATACTCATCAGGTTTTGTTTAATCTATAAAAGTCCAACGATCTCTCGTTCCCTCATCAAACTCATATCAATCTTCTTGTCTTTTGCATTTGCTCTTCGACACTTAGTCAAGCATTTTCTTTGTCTATTATACAAAAAAAAATGATTTATGTCTCTAAAGTTGTTATCGGCATATATGGCACTAGTGTCTATGAAACATGCACAGGAGGCGACATCGCCAGCAGTGATCAAGCATTTGAGTATGCTCAAGCTGCGTATGTAGAAAACGGTGACAATGATGATGACGTTATCTATGATTATGCTCCGGCAGCATGAATGCATCATATCTTTGTTAGTCTAATGCGTAGATAATCGGGTTACATGTATGAAACATGATTTTGTACTTCTTATATTAATGGTTTTATGCGATAGGGCTTCGCTTATGTTTGCCGACTTAACATCTTCACTTAAATAGTCGAATATTTGATTCTTTCAGCCTCACTTTATCTCACATTATCTACTTGAATGAAATAGATCAAAGGATATCATGAACTGTTACACAGACACCTTTAATAAATTTCTAAATTTCATTGTAATCGTCCTATATATCCTTGGTGGGATTGGTATTCCGAAAAAGTCACAATCAATTAGGATCGCCGGACACACTGAACATCCTCTGCTTCGTAAAAAAACTAACAGAATCAAGCTAATTATAGATGAATCTGATAAGATTCCCTTTTTATTGATTGAAAACCATGAATACAAGCTGAAAGAGTATGATATTGAAAGCTATCCTCTTGTACTCTCAACAACTCCGAGAAACAAACAACAACCATAAGTATATATCTAGAGTAACCGAAGATCCTTTTATGCTCAAGGCCTCTTTTTAATAAGACTCATGACTCTATTAGGAATTTTTTAAATTAAATGGCCACGTCAGCTTCCTTCTGCATCCTCCATTTCCGGTAAAAGGCTCTCCAAAGCATATCAATATCCTCTCCTTGTGAAGAACGAATATCTCCTCTAGCGAAAAATGGGGAAACTAATGTTGAAGGTTACATAGCTTGGTTAGATAGAACAGAAAATCAAGATTTTTCTCATCAGATTAATCATATAAAGATCTAAAAAATCTAATATGCATTGGACTGTAAGGTGTGCATGGCCCAATAATATACGGCCAGTATTTTCTAGCAAATTATCTGTGATGAGTTTTCAGGGTAGGATCATCAATGACATTTGTAAGTCACTCAAGGTCATATGTAAATATAATTTATGTTTTGTTTCATTCAAATATATATATTGTGAGGTTGAGAAAATCAAATATTCGGTGATTTATAGTGGAAATGTTAACTCGGCACAGACAAAAGAAGGCCTAAACCATACAATCTGTAGATAGGATATCAAACTCAACTTGGTTTTTTGATCAATATTACATGGGTATATATACACATGGAGTCACCGCAAAACCCTACGCAAGAGAATATACGCTTAAGATACAAAAGGATATTTTCCAGATTCTACAATATATGTATATATCGCCTAATACCCTCCCTCACGTTGGAGCGTGAAGATTCTAAACGCCCAACTTGGACAATAACGCTTCAAACTGTACTCGACCAAGGGCCTTCGTCAAAATGTCAGCAGGCTGCTCTTTCGTACGAATGTGCTCAGTAGTTATTAAACCATCACGGACAGCATCACGAACGACATGATATGTGCTTGGTACGTTCGTAAAAACGGGATTCACAGAAATTTGTAAAGCTGCTTTACTATCACAAAATAAACGAGTTGGCGCAGACTGTTCGACACCCAAATCTTTGATTAAACTTCGCAACCATTTGATCTCACGAAGAGCATCTGCCATAAAACGGTATTCCGCTTCGGTCGACGAGTGCGAGACTGTGTCTTGTTTCTTTGTCTTCCGAGAAACCCCCAAGTAACACAAAAAATGCACTCAATGAACGACGAGTTAAAGGACAAGAAGCCCAATCCGAGTCACAGTAAAACGTAAGGGAGAAATCCTTATCAACTTTAAGCAGAATATCCTGACCCGGGGAACCCTTTAGATAGCGAGCCACATGAATAGCCACAGTCCAATGAGCTTGATGAGGTTGCTTCATAAATTGAGAAAGTAAGTGTACTGAATAAGACAACTCAGGACGAGTATTCGTGAGATAAATAAGACGACTAACCAGACGTCAATAAGGCGTTGGGTCCGAGAGGTAAGGACTGTCATCACTGGCGAGATGATGGTTCTGTTCCATAGGTGTAAGAGCAGGTCGAGAGCCAAGGTTTCCGTTATCCGCGATAAGATCCAACGCATATTTGCGTTGGCACAAGAAAATTCCTTCTGGACTTTGACTCACTTCAATGCCCAAGAAATATTTCAGTTTGCCCAAATCTTTCATAGCAAAACATTTACCTAAGTAATCCTTGAATTTACCAAGCATGTACTTATTTTTCCACATATGAGTAAATCATCCACATAGATCAAAACATGTATCTCCATCCCAGCACGCGAATAAGAGAACAATGAGTAATCCTCGTAAGATTGAGCAAACCCAAACTTGAGTAAAGAATCAGACAATTTCTTGAACCAACACCTAGGTGCCTGTTTAAGACCATACAAAGATTTCCGTAAACGACAAACTTTGTTAGGATGTGTATGCCGAAAACCAGGAGGAAGCTTCATATAAACCTCCTCATGAAGATCACCATGGAGAAATGCATTATTCACATCCATTTGGGACGCTTCCCATTCATTCGCAGCAGCAAGTCGAAGAATTGTACGAACGGTGGTCATCTTTATAACAGGAGCAAATGTTTCACCATAATCTTCACCTTCGATCTGTTTGTTGCCTTGTATAACAAGCCGAGACTTGTACCGTTCAACTGTATCATTAGCATTAAATTTTGTTCTATAGACCCACTGACATCCGATGGCAGTTTTACCCGGTGGCAAATCAGTAATATTCCAAGTATGATTTTTCTCCAGCACAACAACTTCATCATCCATAGAATTATTCCAAACATCGATAGCAACTGCTTCCTTAAAATTTTGGGCTCATTAGAGGCTGTTACTGCGGCAAGGAACACCTGATGCTGCGGAAAGAAAATAGCATCAGAGACATAATTTGCCAAAGGGTACAGTGACTTACCTTGAACCGTAGACGAGGACACGGAAGTGGAGTTGAGGATAGCATGATGGGTGTTGTGGGGCAAGGCAGAGATATTGTAAGTGACAAAGTCTTTCAAACGAGTTGAGGGAATACGTTCCTGTTGACCTCTGTCTAGTTGAACCTCAAACAGTGATTCCTCTGCATCGAGCATAACTGGATCATCAATTGCCGTCGGTAAAGTCTCAGACACCACATCCGAAGGAGGATCCTCAATAACGTCAGCAGAAGACTCAACTAGAGCAACTTCTGCAGGACTATCAACTGAGGTAGATGGTGGACAAACAACATGATCACCCTCCCTTACTTTTGACGTGGGATAAATAATCCAATCATCATCACAAGGAACATCGCGATCACCCTCCCTTACTTCTGACGTGGGGAGTAAAGAAGGTGTATTCGCGGCAAAAAGGAAGACGTCCTCATTAAAAATAACATCACGCGAAACAAGGAACTCCTTCCGCTCAACATCGTATACTTTCCAACCTTTCTTACCAAAAGGGTAACCAACAAACACACACAATCTACTGCGTTCACCAAATTTATCTTTGTCTCGAGTAATGCGATGGACATAACAAGCAGAGCCAAAAACGCGTAACTGTGTATAATCGGGTTTTTGACCGTGAAGTATCTCGTATGGTGAACGACCTTCATGAATAAATGAAGGTGTTCGATTGATTAAATAAGCAGCAGTGAAGACAGCCTCTCCCCAAAACGACACAGGAAAGTTAGCCTGAAACAGCAATGCTCGAGACACGTTCAATATGTGTCTGTTTTTTCGTTCGACACGTCCATTTTGTTGTGGAGTGCCTACACATGACGTTTGATGCACAATGCTATGTTCTCGAAAATATGAGGATAAACACATGAACTCAGTACCATTGTCACTCTGAACCACCTTAACAGTTTTACCAAATTGTTTCTCTGTATAAGCCAAAAAATTGGTGAGCACAGTTTTAACCTCCGATTTGGCATCAGATAAGTCCAAACTGCGCGTGAGAAGTCATCGACGATAGTTTAAAAATAAACAGCATCACAAGAAGAGAGAATTCGGTATGGCCCCCAGACATCACAATGAATTAACGAAAAACATTCAGATTTTTTATTATTACTAACTGGAAAAACTTCTCGAGTTTGTTTAGCCCTAAAACACACATCACAAGGACTAGCGTTCACTGAAGTCGACAAAAACAAAGGTAAAACTGAAAGCACTAAAAAACTAGGATGTCCTAAACGCTGATGCCACAAAGTCAAATCCTGAGACGCCTGAACTGTGTGGACTTTAGCTGTAGCAACATCCGTCAGAAAATAAACCCCATCACACTCTTCACCTCTTCCAATCAAGGTCCCCGTGAAACGGTCCTGTAAAACACATAAAGTATCGGTTAATGTCGCAAAGCAATTCGTCTGTTTCAAAAACTTAGAAACCGGGATCAAAGTATAGTTTAAAGAAAGCACATAAAGGAAAATTATCAACGAGATGGTGTCCGATAATGAGAATATGCCCATGTGAACAGAAAACGTTTTGTTTCCATCTGCAAAACCGATCGAACGAGGTGGTATCGAGACCAGATCCACCAAAAGTGACTTGTCGCCTGTCATATGATGGGAGGCGCCAGAATCAAGAATAACATCGCCAAACTTGGCCTTACCAGACAATTTATCGGCACCACCATGTGCTGACTTGACCTGAATCATTTGTGTAAGAACTTGCCATTGCTCGTTGGTGAAATCGGGAAACACCGAAGCATTGGAGCTCGTTGCATGTGCATCTGTAACTTGACCACGACCTCTACCTGCACTGCTACCACGACCTCCGCAGCCACGCGAGCCACCACGTCTGCCATTGTTGCGTTTAGTGTACCACTCCGGAAATCCAACAAGCTGCCAACAATCTTTCTTCTCATGACCACCGCGACCACAGTTTGAGCATTGCATCGACTTCTTCAAAAGAGACTGCTCCGGTCTGCTTCCTCTGTGATCCTCTCCCCGAACAGAAGCTCCCGATTTGGCGAGTTGCAAAACCCACTGCTTCGTGCGCCTGCTCACGTGCGAGAACCAATGTCAAACGCTGTTCTTCGCGCAACACTCTGGAGTAAACTTCTCCAATAGAAGGCAGATGATCCATGGCTATGAGAGCCGAGCACAGACTACCATACCGAGAATCATCCAATCCCAAGATGAACTGATGGACTTTCTCTTCATCTCGTTCTTGGACGATCTCGCACGCCGCTCCACACGTACACATCGGCAAGGGCCGATAAATCACAAACTCCTCCCACAGTGTGCAAAGTCTTCCATAGTAATCCATGACCGATTGGCCATCTTGACGACACACCGCGAGCTGAGCTTTAATCTGGTGCAGCCGCACTTTATTCCCAACCGAGAAACGCAGCTTCAACTCGCTCCAAAGTTGACTCGCCTCTGCAAAGAACGGAACCGACGTCTTCATCTTCGGTTCGATGGAGGCTCGAATCTAACCCAACACCATCAAGTTGACAACCACCCATGAATCATAATCGGTACTCCCGATCTATGGTTTCTTCAAAGTACCATTGATGAACCCAGTTTTTCTCTTGGCTTGAAGAGCATTCAGCATCTCGTTGACCCACTGATTGTAGTTTTTTCCTTTCAACAACACCGGAGTAACCATGGAGCCCGGATTATCGGACCCAAACAGTGAGTACGGCGAAGGAGCCACTGTCTCCGTCGCACCATCAGCAACCTTCGAGGTCGCGGTGACATCACCAGTCTTCGTCATAGACGATTCCGACGTCATCGTCAAAGAAAAACTTCTACTTTGTTCAAACTATGAACTTTGAGAGAGAGGTGTTCAAACTATGAACACAATTGAACTAAGAACACGATTTGAAAAGAGGTTTCAGATCGCTTGAGGCTCTGATACCATGTAGATTAAGATATCGAACTCAACTTGGTTTTTTATCTTACACACGGAGTCACCGCAAAACCCTACGCAAGAGAATATACGCTTAAAATATTCTACAATATATGTATATTATTGCCTAATACAATCATTAATATAAGAATTACATAATCATGGTTCATATATATATATATGTATATATATATATATATTATCCAGTTATCTATGCTTTGCCCTAAAAAGATGTGATCCACTCATGCTGCTGGAGCATAAATGCACAATCATAGATGACGTCATCATCGTGGTCACCATTTTCTAGTTTCTACAAACGCAGTTTGAACATTGTTACCGATGTCGTCTCCAATGCATGTTCCATAGATATTGCCATGCATGCTGAGAACAAACTCAGAGACAGAAATCATATAGATGGAAAAAGGAAATGGTTAACAAAAATATTGATGTGCGTAGGCCTGGGCAAAAAACCCCGATCCGAATATCTGAACCGGAACCGAACCGAAATGGATGTACCGAATCTGAACCGAAATTTTTAAAAATATCCGATGGATCTTAAACTCTTATACCCGAAGAACCGGAACCGAACTAGTACCGAACCGAGAACCGATTGGGTACCCGAATTATCCAAAGTATAATTATATATCCTTCTAAATATTAGTTTTTTTTTTGATATTTTTGATATTTGGTATATATTTCTGGTTTTACAGATATATTTTCTTTATTTTGGGACTTTTGGGTATATTTTTAAGTTTTGATATATATATTTTTGAATTTTTGTTATTAAAAAAGTGTGAGTCGAATTAAAAATTTGAGGCAAAAGATCCGGATCCGATTATCCGAACCGGAACCGAACCGAAATAAAGATACCGAACCCGAACCGAAATTTATAAAAATATTCGATGGATCCTAACTTTTTTTACCTGAAATATCCGGAACCGATTGGTTCCGAACCAAAACCGAACCGAATATCCGAATGTCCAGACCTAAATGTGCGTTTGATGAGGCAATGAGAGATCGTTGGACTCTTTTACAGATGAAACAAAAGTTGATGAGTGGTTGGACTCGTTTCTGTCCTCTACTGACCTCAGGAAGGAGTGTGACATACCGATAAAATTTGTGGAATGACACATTTTAGAGTACGAACTCCAGTTAACTTTTTGACACACAGGACTTATACAATACACGTACGCAGCACATATTGGTTTACAATTACTTAATTGGGTACTTAATCGTTGGAATATTCTTTTGAAGCATGAAAGTAAGAAAGGTTTAGCCTTTTCTTTTTGAAAACCAAAGGTTCAGGCTTTTTGGAAATATAATTTGTAGTGGCCATATAATGGTCTAAAAGATCTTTTTGTATTGTTTTTGTAGATACTAGCTAGGTGAAAAGATAAATCATTATTCGCTAAATTTTATATGTAAACGAATATAAATATTTGTTTTTTTTCCATGATGTTGTTGCTCTTTTTTTTTTTTTAATATATCTCAATCTTATACTATGAACACTCGATTTGACAAGTGATCAACAAGCATTAATAGCATATACGTGAACTAATCACCTAAATTAACATCAAGTCTCATTGTAAATGAAAAAAAAAATAATTCTAAAATACTTCATCAAGCAAGCAGTCTCCGACATCTAAAACATCTAAGCTATACATAAAGATATTTAGGCTTACTCTAGCATTGGTCACACTTTAAATGTAGCATTCTTTCATACCCTCACCTTAATTGTCAGAAATCAACCACCTATTCATAGTATTTGTTGACCTTACTCTCACTGTAAATCATTGGGCACTCAAATTTAAAATTTTGTTAACTTTATAAAAACCTACACTCGGTATTCTAGTTTGCATTTCATATCTGGAATTTATTTAATTTGAGAAATGATAACGAAAATCAAGGAGAGGTTGAGAAAATAAAGTGCCCCATGATTTACAATGAGAGTAAGGTCGACAAAACACTGTGAAATCCCTAAACAACAAAACATCAGTTAAGAACCGATTATCTAAGACTTGGTCTAGAGTTTACGGTAATGATCCACTCATTGGAGTATTCAAATTCTCGATAATTATTAGTCTCTGTTGATTGTGGATCTCAACTATTTGAGGTCAATTTGGTAATTTGAGTTCGGAAGAAGATCTTATGTTCAATTAATTGAGTATGGATTATAAGTCTTTGAGTTCGGAGATCTCTCGACAAACTGAGTACAATAATAATGAGCTCTCAATCTCTCCTGAAAAGTCCTCCATTTTCTACAGTAATCAAACTCTCTATTTATAGTGCATTAATGAAAAGAGAGAGCTTAAGGTTTTCTCCCCTTAATTTCCACCGCCTCTTGTTATTGGGCCTAACTGTAAATGGACCGCGTCATCAGGCCGAGCCCATTTCGATCAAGACTGTCGTTAACCAGGGTCAATTTGGCCGTTCTCGGTCTAAACCGGTCTGAACCGGGTATCGGAGCGTACCAGTATGTCCCCCCAATCTGGCAAATGAGCTCGACTGACTTTTGTCGGATTTAAGTTGGAGCGGTTGACGTTCGAGGTCGGTTGGAACTGAATCCTTCATTTCTTAGTGCATTTTCGTCTCCCGAGCTCGGCGAGGCTATTTTTGAGTTTTCACACATAGGAAGTTGAAGAGTTGTACTGATTTTGGCGGGAAATTGGAATTTCTGGAATCGACGCGAGGCGCGGAAACCGAAAAATCGCAAGGTAAGGGTAAAGATTTTCCGAACTGTCTTCTTTTAGGAGTTATTTCAAGGTCCTTGCTAACCTTATCGTTTTCTCTTCAGCCGCCAAAGCTCAAGCCGGGCCCAGCAACTCGAAGAAGGCTCCGAAGAAGAACCCTAAGAAGACTCGGAAGAAGATGAGGTTCCACAAATCGGACATCCCAACGATGAATTTTGCGGGCGATGGTGAAGATGAGGATAACACGCTCATTGACGTTATCGGGTTGGAAGGGAACGAGACTCAGGATGCCAATCTTCCTCTCGATCCGTTGCCCGTTCAGGAGCTCGATCCGACTTTGCCTGCTGAAGGTATTAACCCGGAGATGACGGGGACTGGTATCCCGGAGAGCTGTCCTCTTCAACCTTAACTTGAGGAAGGGGAGCTCGGGATCCGGACTAGGACGAGCTTACGATCGCCAATCGGGCTCGGAGGAAGAAGAAAAAGGCGGCTAAGACCGCGTCTCGGAAGAAGGTCAGGGATCCTGATGCTTAGACCAGTGAGGGGACTATGATTCTCCATGGCGGCGATATCGATGGTCTGTCTACAGACGTTTAGGCCTCGCCAGAAGGGTTGATGGCCGAGGCCTCGAAATCAGAGAACCCAAGGTCATCGAAGAGGCGCTGAGTTTCCGACCCATCTTCGTTTTCGGTTCGTCTGAGCTACAATAAAGACCGATCCTTCTTCGATGATGCTTCTGGGTGCGCGGAGCTGTTCAGGCAGATCGTTCCGGCTTCTGCTCCGATGCCTGAGACAAAGGATCTCTTCCTCCCCAAGTCTTATGCTTGGGTCGCGAAGTCCGCTTATGCTGTAAGTTTTCTATCCTTGAGTATTTGAGCTGTTCTCTATTGGTGGTGCTGACGTTTGGTGATTTTCAGCTTGTCTGCGATATGGACGAGCTAGTTCAGGAGTATGATTTAGAGATCGAGCGGCTTAGAAAGATTAACGCGGAGGTGGCGGCGGAGAGAGAGTCGTTGGAGAATTTGTACCGGATGGAGAAAGAAAGGTATGAGGATTCCGTGCTGGCTTTTTCAGAGAAGGAGAAAGAAAACACTGCTCTCAAGGAGCAGATCGGGACCCTGGGGAAGCGGATTACCGAGCTGGATACTAACTTGGATGCCTTGTCTAAATCCTTCAAGGCTGAGAATCTCAAAAAAAGGAAGTTCCGAGACGCGGAGTCAAAAGGCAGGGCGGCTATGTTGGCGCTGAAGAGCAGATGCGAGGCGAAGCTGGCGAAGATGAAGAACTTTATAGACAAGTCCGAGCTGAGGACGACGCCGTTCTTTAAGCTTAACCAGGTACTGCTTTGGTCGACTTCTGCGACTTCGTGAAGCAGGAGCACAACCTCCTCGTCCCACCTCACATTCTGGAGACGTATCAGAGGAGGGTGAGGGTTTGCACTAAGGATGTGGATGCGATCCCTCTTCCACAGCTCGGGGATGACGACTTCACCCTGCCGACTACCGCCGAGCTCTTGTCCAAGGTCGAGCTTCCGCCGAGTACGCAAGTCCCAGAAGGTCTGAATCAGTTCGGATCTAAGTCGAACTCCATTTCGGCAGAGCATGCTGCGAGCCTGAAGAGTACGTCCTCTGTCGCTCATCAATAATTGTCACCGTTTATATTGTTTTGTTTCCTTAGTATGCATCTTGTAATATCCTGCCCATATTTTTCGGGCTTTTGGACTTG